GGGAAAGAAGAAATAGCTAAAAAAATTCCTGGGACAAGTGTAAATGCAATAGGAAGGACTGCTGGAGGCTTCCAATGGCAGTCCTGGCGGTGGGATGACACTGATGCCTGCACCCATTAAAATGGCTGCTCTCTTCATCAGTTCCTGGAGCCCAGAGGGCTGCACTTCAGGGTCAACAAGGAGGTCAGCCCAGAGTTTAATCTGGAAATGCAGTAAGCTTATGTTATGGTTTGAGTTTATTTCATTGTTCTTCCCATTCTTACAGCAAGCCTCTTTTGCCAATCTTCCCAGCATAATCTCACCTGGATTTAGAAGAGGGGGAAGAGGGTTTGCCAGTGCCATACATCAGTAACTGAAGCAAGGGGAGACCTCAGCTCAATTCCCAGTTTCTTTCTATATATCTTGTATGGCACTAGGAAGTCATTTAGTCCTAGATCTTTGCAGATCTTTACATCTATCTCCCACTGATGTTACTGAACTCACAGCAAATCAGACATGTAAGTAGCTTAACTTCTCCTTGCCCCGTATCCCTGTCTCTAAAGTGGAGAACAATAGGATTTTTCTGTCTGCCAGAGATATGTAGAGAATGAATAGATTGAAGAAGTTCTCAGAGACAAAAATGACAAGGGCCAAATAAAATGTAAAACAGCTCATCAGAATGCAAAGTGCGATCTATCTGTTTCTTAGTATAAATCAAGGTTTTAATTGTTGCCAGGAAGGCTGCATGTCTTGCAATTTCTCTTAATGCTGTATTGGACAGCCAAGTAATCAGCACAATTACTAATCTTTATAGTGCTTTCCCACAGCCTGGAAAGTCTTGCTGTCTAATGTTTACATTCGCAGGCTGTGACTAGCAGGTGGATTTTGTTTCTTGTTTTACCACCCTGTGACATACAGGATAGCAACTCCCTCTGTGACTAAATCATATAATTTATATAGCTCTTAGTAGTCCCTAGATGAAAAATCTAAATTATTGTTACTGAAATGACTACTGCACTCCAAGTTGCTGAAGCAGTAGATTAATCCTTAATGTATATGTTTCAAATAGTTACTGGATTGATACTTAATATTTTTATTTCAAATTTGTAACCAACAGTACCCTAAGCTTCTTGCTATATATATCTCTCAAAAACCTGGTATTCTACAGAGAGTGGGAGGAACAGCAAGTCAGTCACTGCTGTCACTATAAATTATTGCAAGTATGGCCTCAGACAGAAAAGTACATCTGATGCTGGAAATTTTGTGAAGTTTCCTTTTTTAGAACAATGCCTTGAGGATGAAATAAGCCTAGTTTGCCAAATGTTTTTAGTGTTTTATTTGTTCGCTTGTTTTGCTAATATTTACTAAAAAATAAAACTGAGGGATGAGGGAGACAGAGGGATGAAAATGCAAGAAATTTTGTGTGGAGGCTTCAGAGACACAACAGAAAAAACTGCTTTTGGGATGAAGAGCTAATAGCATGCTGTGGAGGAGGACTCCAAACTCTGCAAGTTGCATCTTTTAAGACATTGTTGGTTAGTGAAGGCAGGGGCTTCTTTGTTAGCCTGCATGTTGATCTGTCCTGCAAAGGCACTGCTGGGGGTTCATGGACATAAGTACGACATGGCACATATGTGAGCAGTAGTAGGCACTCTATTTGGAGACTGGCTATGGATGTTTCAGGTCCCTTTCTCCCCATTTATTCTAAAATTGCTTGCTGTTTCATGGTGCTTTACAGACTAAACTCCTACTGAATTCCAGCTCCTTCATATTGACTTTCAAAGCTCTGCACCACTTCACTCAAGGTTGCCTCTCTTTCCTGATGAAGGCTAATGTGGACCTGACTTGACCTCATCTGCCCATGTAGACCCTCCATCAGCAGTAGTCACATGAAGGCCTGCCACAGCAGGGCTTTTCTGCAGGCTCCAAAACTACCAAAGCTTCCCAGAAAGAATAAAATTCTACTGGTTATAATACTCAGATGCCAGTGCTTTGCCATGAGTGTTTCACTGGTGTTCCAATTTCTACTTAGCACATCTTACACAGACTTTTAGCTGTACATCAAATTACCCCCCTAAGGCTCTGCATTTCCTCCCTGCCTCCCTTGCTTTCCTAGGGAAATGAGGATGTGTAAAGAGGAAGAAAAGAAGTGCTTGGGGGAAAAGAATGGCACAGTAAAAGAACCTTCCCTTTCTGTGTCTGGGAGAAAATGTGAAGAGTACAAAAAAAAGAGCAATGTAATTCCCTTCAGATTTGTCTCCTAGTTCCAATTGCTATCCTACCTTTAAGCATCTCCTTTTGATCAAATGCAATTTCCACTCCAGTAATCTGAGCTGCCTGCAGCCTGACCACAAGATCTGAATATGCACAAAACACTGGCACATTTCCTCCAAGAAGAGGCCTATTGCTAGGGAATATTTATAGAGAAGAAAATGTCATATAACCTTCAAGTGTATTAAGTAAAGTGTCATTTTATCACTGCCTTTAAGGAGCAGATGTCACTTGGTGTTATTTGAAATGGAAGTCTTATCACACACTGTAAGTCACAGCCTCTCGTGTCCAACTCAGGCATTAGAAATTAGAGTAGCTAACTGTCTGTGTCCACTCTGATTACCTTGATTGTCCCTTAGAGTAAAGTTGGGGTTGTTGGCTGCCTCCGGAGCCAGGCTGTAGTAGAAGTGCTGACCATCCTGTGGGTCATCCCTGTCAATAGCACTCACTGTCTGGATCAGCTACAGAATACAAGAACAAAGCAGAAACAGGTGAGAAGCAAAAGATATATGATAAAAATAAAGAAACAAACAATATATACACATGTATATAAATATTAGCAACTGGAACACTTGAATACAACTGTCTTGCTGAGGTACAACAGATGAATCAAGAAGAGATACCAAAGCTTGCAGGCTTCACGTATTTTGCTGTGATCATCAAAACACTTTTAAACAAAGGAGGAGCTAATTGGTTTGGTTCAAGTAAAAGACATTTTTTTTTTTTCTCTTGAAGGCCCAGGGTGTTCAGGAGATGCATTGTGCATTACAGAGCTTGTAAGAAAGCCCATACTTATTTTCAGCTTCATTATGCAGGTAGGAAAGGACTTCAGATTGATTATTTTATCACCCTTTTAATTTTAAATCAATTGAACTCTTCCCTAGATGTTGGTGGAAAAGAAAGAAAATGCAACCATGCAGACACACGACAGAAAGCAACTAAAACAATGCTAAATCCAGAGAGAGATTTGTCACCTCTTTTATAAGAGGCTTAATAAAGTAGGTCTAACAGCTTGAAGCACAGTGAGCTGTAGTTCTGTCTGAATCAACATTCTGACATCTTTTTAGACAAAGAATAAATCTACACCTGTGTTTTTTGCATTCCAAAATTATTTTTGGATTCAAAGGCAAGTGACAGACCCATAGAATCTTAGTCAACACATTACATTTATTTTTTAGAACTTTTCAGAATGTGGCAACATAATTCAGCTTTCTCTGCTGAAAGCCTCGCCCAAATCTGCGTGCATTTCTTGGAAAGCTTATTAATGAGACCACTCACCCTTCAGACCAGAAAAAAGACTAGCCAATTATTTCTATTTCTGCTATTATTAAGGACCTCCAGAAATTAGTGGGATGAAATGATCCTGTATATGATAGCTGTGAGGAGAGTTGTCCTGGTAGTGAATAGCCATTTCATTCTGCTTCACAGCAAGCTAGGAGAAGTTTCAGAGAACATGCAGTGATATTGCTAGCATAATTTTTCCTTCACAGATCATGAGTATTGTGTCTGTGTGTTTGAACTATGCCAGTTTGTGGCATTCGGGATGTACAGTGCTTGTCTCGAACAATCCAAGAGATAAGTGATGGACTTTGGTACTCAGGTACTTTGGTACTCGGGTACTTTGTCTGTCTTGTGGTACCTCAGAGTTGAACATCTGCTGATGGACTAAAGAGATGTCTCAGCAACTCACCCAACCCCCTCCTGCGAGGAGTACCTGAGAACTGGGGAGTTTAGCTTGGGACATGCTGAGACCAGAGACAAAGGAGTTCTACAGCTGGCGCTGGGAGCAGAATATCCAGTGATAACCAGGCCTTGATATGAAAACCACCGACTTAGCAGGACAAGACAAGGAGTGCCAGTCTCAAGCTACTTCCTAGGACTGAAACTCCACCCAAGGAACTAATCCTGTGGTGGCAGTTGACTCAGCCTCCTCCTTTGTAATGGCTGGTCTCATCAATTAGCCAAACAAGGACTACATAGCCCCTGGCATCATGCCTGCCCCTGCTATCACAGAGAAGATCCTAAGGAGTTTCTCCCTTATGCAGGGAGAGAGGTGGGGGTGCAGTGGGCAAGAATTGTATAAAAATCTGGGACTCTATGGGTGCAGGGAAGCACTTTTCCACCAGGAACTACTTCCCCACCAACAACATTGACGACATCGCTGGACCGTGGGTGGTAACTCTGCTCTTGCTTGCTGTCCTCTATCTCTCTGCTTCCTCCTCTCTTTTCTTTCTCTGTTTTCCTCCCTGTCCTATCTGCTCTAGGGACTTTTGTTGTGTTACTGCAATAAAAGTTTGTTGTGTGTGTGACATCTGACCTCATTTGCGTCTTAATTTCACCATTTGGGATCACCTTTATAAAAAATTGTCACGTATCCGAATACCGGATCATGACACAGTTAGTGGTGCATTAGGAGACATGAGTCCTCATTGTGAACCCTAGGTGGCAAAGTACCTAGGTCACCTTCTCACAAGCCATCATCTTCAGATGTTGCAGCAAGAGGGAGCTCATGTCTATCTGTGGCACAGACTGACCTTGTTCAAGGGCTTTGATGGGGTTTTAGAAGGTAGAGAAGCAAAGAGGCACCACCACATGCTTGAGGGTGCTGGTTTAACGTGTGCAGACCTTGAGGTCCTGTGTTAGCTACTACTGTCTATCAACTCCAGTTCAGAGCAGAACAGATTCAGTTTGTCACCTGTGTGGAGCTGATGTAGTATGTTACATTCTGTTCCTGTAGGTCCAGGGGTGCTTAAGCCTCTTATAAATAGGGTCTTTTAAAAGTAAGCCTTGTCTGTCACACTTGGACTGGACTGACTCCAGGGCACTTCTACTCTCTTTGTTGCTCCTAGAGGGCACACCCGGTGTTTGCTGCCGCGCTTCTCACCTGCCCTGCTTTGGCGTTTTCACAAACAAAAGCTTCATAAAACCTGGCGAACTCCGGCGCGTTGTCGTTCACATCCAGGACTTTCACCGTCACGGAGACGCTGCCCACCTGCGATGGGTTGTCTGGAAGGAGGGGGAACAACATAAAGGAAGGCAACGTACGGGAAGGGGCTGCTCCTTGCTCTGCTCAAGAGGTGAAGTTGCTTTTTCGCTACCAACTCTGGTAAATTACATCTTCCCATCAGGAATTGTGGTCAACTGTGGGTTGTGTGATTTGGAGTTGCAAATGCTGTTCTGTCTACCCCGGCTTTACACCTAATCACATCTTTTTCAAACAAATTCCTTGAAAGACTTCACCCTGGTTCAGTCCAATAGGATTTTCTGGATAACAGAAGTTTTAAACAATGCCCTGTGTTTATTTATTTATTTTTTTAAATTGTCCTTTAACTCGGCAATGTTGTATATTGGGTCTTGGTGCTGGTGGCATGAATTAGGAAGAAATTCTTTAAGGACAGGCTTATTATTTAGAGCTTGTTTAAAGTGGTAACTGCAGTTCAGGTATGTTTGTGCTCAGAATTTATGTTCCTTGAACTAAAAAATAGTTTCAAATCTTTAATACTTTGTATAAGGGGTTTAAAATGTAATAACACATTAAATTGTACAGAAAAGCTTTCACTGAAGCTTAAAATTGCAATGAAAACTTTACATTCTGCATGACATCATCTGTGATATTTCTCTCCCACTGGTTCATTAACTCTCTTTGCTAGTAAATCCAGACATCATTTCACATATCTTCACAGTTTCCAACTAAGTGGACCCAGAATAATTTTTTTACTTCCTTTCCTGTTTTTTTTTTCTTATAACACCTTTTTTCCCCCTCCTTATTTAATGATAAATTGAAACTTTAAGCAGAAAAAAATATTCCTTATTAAGAGGACTTAAAATTGCAAAAAAACCAGGAAATTGAGGAAAAATAGTATTATCATCTTCTTTTTAGTCATACCACTTTGTGCATTTATCTCCAAATATATCTCTCTTTCTAGCAAGAAATTATATGCTCATATAAAGAATAGAGAATTTTCTTACACTCTAGAATTGTCTTAAAAATTCAATATACTGTATCCATAACACATGTCCCATTGTATAATTGAGATAATACTCTTAAACTATGTTGTTTCTCCCTAATTTACAGTATAATCCTTTGGTTTCCCACATATCCATATATATCTTGGTAACAAACCTGTTGCTGTGACAAATTAATGTCTACATTTATGCTCTTAGTAATATTGCTCTAACTTTTAAAACTAGGAGCTTTCTTCAGGTATGCACAACTACGACATTTTAAAAAATATTCACTGAATGAAAATATTGTACTGCACATGTACAGAGCAAAACTGACAGAAGATTGATGGAGGATGAGTCAAAGCAAGACATGCCTTCATGTTGTTCTCACCCTCGGGTGCTGCTACTGGGGCAGCTTTTACAGACTCATCCATGTGTGTGGATTTACATGGAATTGCAATTCCCATTGGTGGCTGAAAATAAAACTAGCATCAAAATAGATGAAGGTGAGATCCTATTAGGTCACCAATCCTGCTCACTACTAAAGAGGGGTCAGAAAGGTGGTGTGTGCAGCTGGAACAGCCTGCAATTTTGTAGCATTGTGAAATAGTCCCTTTGCTCACTTCTAGTTGGCTGGTTGCATTTTGGGTAAGCTCCTTGTAACATTTTTCCTCTCTTAACTGCCCCAAATCTCTGGTATAGCCTGGATGTAGCAAGGAGCTCTCTCAGACACGAGGAATGACTCAGCCATTGGCAGGAAGCTTCTGGAAAAGCTGCTGCCCCTCTGCAGATGAACTGAGTAAAAGCTATGTGGACCAAAGAGATTTCAGGTGGAGATTGGGTGAATCTTTTTGTTTATTTGCTTATATAACCCCAGCTCCTTTATGAAGCTCACATCTGTTAGTATTTCAATCTCAGCTAAACTTTTCATACTGACACTATGAAATGATTGGCATTTCCTTGTTGTCATAGCTTTGGTAAATTCCTGCCATGGATGAATCCTGAGCTGAGTTTTAGCTCACTGTAAAACCCAAAAGTATAAAGCCTTCAGCATATGCGAAGATCCCAAGGTACTCTGTCCCAGATTTTTTAGGCAGCAAGCAGATGGTGATGACATTTACTT